AAAAATCGAAGTATGCAGAACTCTGAACTTCAACTTCAAACAATCGCCAAATGATGACGACAAAGATGGAGAGAAAGTCAAAAGCCTAGCTGAGGTTCAAGCTACTCCAGAGCACAACAAGGTATTAAAATTAATGTAATTCATAGCAAATTACTATTTAAATTTTGACATAGTTCTTTTGACTAGTCAAAAATCTGTCAGACATGTCTAGTGCAATCGCTAGGTTTAGCAACATAGTTTGATTTACTTACATAGCTTGATTTACTCACTTGAAGTAGCTTTATTCACCTACTAAATTATATTAATTTTATAAATTAGCATTTTTTTCAAGATGTTCAAAAATCGCACTTTTATATACTAATGTAGTGATATCCTATTTTTAAAAAGTTATTGTAGTGGACTCTTTGAAATTATTATAATGGAAAGGGGCTTGTCATTCAGAATGTCTACTTGCAATGATCATATGACTGTGATATGTGCACCTTAATGACCTTATATCATGAGAATTCTCAGTTAGATTTCATCAATTTAAAAAAAAATGTGTTCCACATTATCGGCTGTCTCGACAGAGATTAACATTAAGTTCAAAGGTAAATTAATATGTTTTACAGTGTGACCGTTGGGACGAGTGCAATTGTACTATTAAAAATACACTTGTAATGTTGATTAGCCACTTCAAACTTCAAGTTGCACAAGACATCTAGATTGTGACGTCACTTGACGTAACGGAGCTCGTCAGAGTTAACGGAGACAGTCGAACTTCTGCTTGAACGAGACTATAGGCCTAGTGTAATTTTTTAACGAAAGACGTAGAATATTTTTTGTTTCTTTTAAGCTTTCTACAAACTGCAAGCCTTTTATATTTTATGTTATTACTTATTCACCATTATTGCATGGAATCCTGGTAGCAAAGGAATTCTGAGAAGGTTTCACAAAAATTTGCTTGACGTGCTTGCACTCCCTATTTACAAACCAACAAAATACTGCAGCTGCTTTTGAAACATGATTAGACAAGATCTGCAGCAAATGTAGCAGACCAAATCCTTTGCTTCACTAAGATAATAATCAGTACACAAATATAAGCTCAATTATTACAGAAACAAAAGTCTGGTAAAGTATACTTTTCCTGACTAAACATACTTATAGACTGATCTTTACCCAAAGATATAGTTTTAAAAAATAAAATCCTTTTTTTTCAGGATTTAATTCATATTTTGTTTTTCTGTAGGTTGCAGTAGAGGTCAAAGTATTGTCGGCTACCCCAGTCACAGTCCAAATAGTTAGGGAATCACCTATTAAAAGACAAGAACTTATAATAAGTGATGCATCTGCCGCCATGAAAATCACAGTATGGGAAGATCTGGTTTCGAAACTTGAAGTTAACAAATGTTACAGAATTGAACATTTATCTACCCGACTTTTCATGAACACCAAAAGTGTAACATCAACAAAACAAACAACTGCAACATTGATTGGTGACATAACAAACTGTGTTGCACCAACATTAGACTCAGACATTATAACCAAAGAAGGCAAAATCACTCAGGCAGGGCTTCAACTTTTTCACACCTGTGAAAATTGCAAGTCAAAAGTGGATGTCACTGTTGACAAGTCATTGTATGTAAGATGTAATTCTTGCAAATTGAAAATGTCAAAAGAATCTTTGCACAAATCCATTACTGGCACAATTTGTTTCTCATCTGGGTATGAAAAGTATAAACTTACCATTTTTTCATCAGTACTGTTTACATTGGCGTCAATCAATAATGTAGAAATGGAAGATGCTGACTCTGTTGAGGAGTACTTACTGTCAAACTCTTTTAAAGTTTCATTCTCAAAGGATAACAAGACTGTCGTAGACATAAAATTGTCTGTTGAAAATGTTGCATAAACTCTGCACAGTGATTGTCGAAGTGTAAGCAGAAATTGCATGGTCTGGAAAATGATGACCTCCATATATATTTTCATGCAGAATGCATGACTTTTGTATTTTTTAGTTTAGTTTCCTTGTTCTGTAAATCATACATATTGCTCACAATTCAGTACTCTGCTGAATCATTTGTGCACTTTTTTTGATCCAGCCATTTATATACAGATATGTGTGAACTGCTTTTCAATGTGTGTGCAGAACTGCAGTGTCTGGAAAATGATTACCTCACATATTTATTCACGCAAGAAGCATGATTTTTGGATCTATTTTTTTCAGTTTAGTTTCTTTGTTCTGTAAATCATACATAGTGCTTACAATTCAGTACACTGCCGAATCATTAGTGTATTTTTTTTTTAATCTAGCCATTTCCATACAGATATATGTGAATTTTTTAACTGTACTGGTCAGAAAAGAAAAGAGGTTATGCAACAGTAAGGCAACTTGTTTCTCTGTAATTAATTTTGCAAAATGATGCTCCCTGTATAGTTTTGTCCAATTTCAATATAATTTGAGACACAAATAGATTACACTGTTAATCTGATACCAATTTTGTCTGATTGATTTACTATGGTTACTAAACAAAAAAAAATCTGTGAAATTCTTTCAAAGTGTTATTCCTACCGTGGTTCTTCCCAAATTGCAAATTAACTTGACTTACAAAGACATGTGACCAAGGATTAATATTTTATTTTTTACTGTTGCCGTAGTTTCAAGTTGAATGGGTATTTTCTCTACCTTAATTTAGTTAAAACTACTAGAGCTAGTTTTGTCAAATTTTACTTTAGTATGCTGTAGAATACTTGTAGATTATCATGTTTATCATAGTATTTTTGTGTAGTAGGTTTTTTTACACCCAGCTATGATGGAAAGTATTATGGTATATGGCAATCATATGTGTCCAACTGTCCATCTATCTGACTGACTGTTAGCTATAATGTGTTAAGACATTAATAGCTTACTCCATAACAAATAGAATGATTCCATTAAAGACCTGACCTCGTAATTGCAAATGTTAGTATTTGTCAAATTAATATAGTTCTTGATGACCAGTTCTTTGTTTTCAAAGTTACATAAAATTTATAAAAATTTAATTTGATGTCTTATAATATCGTTGTTTTTTTTTATATTCCAACAACAAAATTGCTTAGCGCCATGCCTCAATCATTACAAGATGACGGTTTCAAAACTTTTCTGGATATTATCTTAAAGATAAACATTAGTATTTTATGTTTGATTAGACAGTGGCATTGTTCTTCTTCTATAAACAATACAATGAACAAACATGCAGATTTGACATTTGTTTCAGAGATCAGTTGAAAAAATTATGAAGTATTATTTGTTCTTGTTAATAAAGTGTTGTGGTTACACTTTATCACAGTTTTTTTTTTAATGATGTATTTGTACTTTCAATTTTGTACTTTGAATATTTCAAGATTAGTCTACAGTATACAATAATGAAAACTTTGAAAATTCTTGGAACAACTGCTGAAGAGACTATATCATCATTTTCTGGATGATTACTAAATAGGAATTCAATAATCCATAAAGACAATTTTTTATCGCTTAATAATTGTAAGATTATGTGAACCCTTTGATTATCATCTTTTGCACATTCTTGACAGATAAATTCTTAATTTTTTTTCTTACTTAAAAAACTTCTTTGCTTTTCAAGCTCAGATCAAAAGTCAATATGTCAACATGACATAATACACAGAAAAATAAGCTTCTAAATTTGTACATATACATGTACTTCCCATTTTGACCACATGTAACTAATACGTTTTCTTTTAAAACATGACACATTGTTTTCCTATTGATTTGATTTATGCAGGATGCATATTTCATTGTGTTTTCATCAAATAAATCATTCAGTAATGATATTTGTGTTTGAAAATATTTCTGAACCAATACTGAAATTCTTGGGAATGCAATTTTTATAGAGGGCACTTGTAATCCTTCGAACTTTTTCAATTACCAATTGCATTCAGTCTTAATATATCTGAAAATGGAAGAACCAACCTGAAAAAATTTAAATTTACTAAACAAAAATTATCATAGTTGCCCACGTGGCACAGTAGTTAGAGCATCTGCTCTAGAGTCGCGAAGTAAGGAGTTGATCCTTACCTCGTGGGTTCAAATCCCACTGTGGGACGTGGAGACCAGTTCTTCGGATGAGACCGTATAAACTGAGGTCCCTTGTCACAGTAGGTGCTGGCACAAAAAGATCCCTCACTGCTCAATGGCCTTAAGTGCCGAGCATAGGACAAAATTTGCAGCTCTCCACCAGCAAGTGGTGGCGTCTCCATATGAGTGAAAAATTCTTGAAAAGGACATTAAACAACATACAAAAAAAAAATTTCATGCCCCCAAGAAAGAAGGCCAATATGTTGCCTAATTCATACTCAAAAGGTCATAGGTACAATTTTCAGGTAGTCCGTTGTATGTACTAATAAATGACAATATGAATTTCAACTCAAAAGGTCAGGACCATCAAGTTTAATGCTATGGCAGTACATATATTGGAATACTGTAAAATAACATTCATTCAAAGAAATTTATACATGATTGACAAAACATTTTCAAATCCAACTTATTAATTTGATGACAAAAGTCATTGCTTACAACTGTCTATTTCAAAACTACGAAAGTTTAGAGTATCGTATTCATGCTCAGAGTATCGATGGGGCTCATAACTGAAATTTCTGCTTATATTCTCATTTAACTTTCAGATAAACAAGTGACACAATATGATGTCAAAATTTTAGCTCCTTGAGCCGAAAGCTGGAGTCAGCTTTTTGATCACATTTCGTCAGGCCCCAGTTTAGTTCAAAACATGACACCTGGTAGTTAAGTGTGGCTACTACAGGTGATAAAACCTTTACATATGTATAGCAGAAGAATCTAAGGAAGTAGAGCAGGGCCATATTGACTCAGGTGAGCGTTGTGGCCCATGGGCCTCTTGTTATATTACTAACACTTCATTCTAAACAGTACTCAATTTTTGTAGCGAACATTATGGCATTCAAAGAGGTTTATATTTTTAAAAATAATTATATGCTGTTATTTTTAGTCATACACCAAACCAGATGGCCTAATAAGCGCCCAGTTTCCCCCTGATTGTTATGCCGAGTCTCTCTTCAGACTACTTAAAGATTTTGAGGCACAAATTCTAGTGGCACTATCTCCACTCACTGATATGGAATCTGTTTATGTAATGTCATTTATTAGAGTTATTTAAAATTAATACTTTGTACTATTTCTTTATAATAATTATATCACTCCAAACCTACAAAAGGTTTCAAATACCAAAGGTATGTAACTTCTCCTGTGATTTATCCGCTGCAATTTAATCCTGAAAAAGGTTTAATATTTTGTCTTTGTACAAATTGCATAGAAATGTTAACAAATTTTAATTCTTCATTTTTTTAATGCATCCTAAAAATAAATAGGAATATGAACAGAGATCCGAGGGAACATTGTACAGGTAGTTTCAAGACCAATTGTTTACTTGAGGAAATGATAAATTTATATAAAAGGAAAATTTTTATTACAGACAAACTCATTCTTGCCACAAGCACAATCGTCAACTACCGTCGGACCTTTCACATTAACGCATAAGTCTTCTTCGAAGTCAAATGATATTTCAAAATGCAATTTGGTGGTTAAGAAAAAGGTCAGAATAAAAACAAAACAAGAAGTAAAGGATGAATTATTTCACAACCTGTATAATGAATCTAAATAAAATAAATACAAATTGTGCTCTACAACTTTAATTTCTTAAATGAAGAAAACTCCCATTATATTGTAAAATGCAAAGTTTTTACACACTGCAGGGTTCTAAAGAAATGCATATATTAGAGGTTTTCGAATGTTTAGCTTGGCAAGCTACAGACTGGATGTCAGATCCTAGAAATATGGTGGATTTAGTGAAGGAAGTCAAAATGTCGCAGTATGCTCGACCCAATACGTCCATTGTTGTTCTATCAAGGTATTACATGGATAGTTTCACTTGTCTCTTAAATTCTACTAACAAAATTCAATGCAGCACTGTTTGAATTTCGAGGCAGCCCAGGAAGCTGTAATTAAATTGTAAACTTTGTATGAGGAGTCCAAAAAAAACCATGTAACTTCTGTCATGGCTTTTTTATTATTTGTTCAAACATTATTAAAGTCATTTATTTATATATGTTGATATCGTTACCTTCAGATTATTTTTTGATCCTCATTTCTTACATATGAGTATCTAGTGAAAAGTTGGATTTGCCACCGATTTTTAAATGTTACTTTTAACAGTGATGGAGCAACGAGAACTGGGGTATTTTGCACCGTATTCAATGCTTTAGAGGAGCTAACAAATGATAATGATGTCGATATCTTCACCATAGCTCGCCAGCTTCAGATTCGCCGACCGGAGTTTCTCCCTGACTTTGTAAGATTTCTTTAACGTACTGTATCATTAGGTTATTACAGTTCCGATTTCTGTTGATACATCAACATTGATACATCAATGCTTCTATAAAATTTTCTCTCTTTTCAGATGGAATATAGATTTTGTTACGAAGTAGTATACGAGTACCTCAAAAACGACATGGTTTACGCAAACTGCTAATGGATTACATTCTATTTTTTATTATATTGTCTTTCAATTATCTTGTATGTATGGCTTATAGCGAACGTACAATGTGCTTATATGGAAAAATATATAGAGACTGTCGATATTTGAACTTTAACTTGAGAAATGGTCATCTGTCTAAATATACTTTGATGAAAAAAAATTAACAACATTGAAAAACAACATTGTCGCATATAACTCCATGGATTTAACAACTACCAACTCTATGAATTTTTATTAAATACACATTGTGCATGTGATTACGGATGCACGCTATTGCAGTGCGTCACCGCATTTTCATTTTGTGCGCCATTGCTTTTACTAAAGACTGTGTATTCTTTGCAAGAAAATAAATCCCATCATCTTTCATTCATGGAACTAGTCCACACATGCTTCTGTGAACTATCTGTGATCTAATCTGTCTTTAATACTTCAGTTTGTTTAAAATTTCAGTCGTTTGAATTCCAATTTATATGTTGCTTCTTGCCATCACTTATCTCAGGAGGATGACTTCTTGCTTAATCACTTTACATGTCATTTAAATAAATGAAACAATTCAAGAAAACTGTATCATGGTGTTTATTGCTTTTTGCAGATCAGCTCTCAATAATTATCGGAGTAGTATCTTCGAGTAACCAGTAGGCGTGCTCTAGAGAGAGTCTGTGCTTTATAGTGGCAGTTAAGTGAAATTTGTACTTATTTCACCTGACATTTTACTTTACTTTGTTATGTTCTTATCTTCTGTTTTTTTTAAATATATAAAAGCGATTTATGAAATTCATTATCGACCCAGGCCAAAAGCAAATGGGGTTTACATGTTTTTGGGCCTGTAGGATGTAGCGACAAGTTAGAGGTCAAGAATAATAAAAAAAAAAAAACAATCAAGAGCAAATCCCTAGAGACTGAAATTTTATTCAAGAATCAAATTTTGGAATTTATCTGATTTAACCATGTTGACGATTGCATCTTCTAAAATAAGTCACATTTTCTTCATCATTCTTTCTATAGATGCATTCCTACGTATTAATTACGTCTTTCAGTAGAAGGATTATCAAATATTTATCGTCATCGTTTATAATACCATTATTATGATACAATTTAGTGTCGCCATGTGCTTGTCATGCCCATAAGCGGCGCTTCTTCCTGCTTATTCTACTGTATATGTTTAGAAATTGTAAACAGAGTATTAAAAAAATGGCGACGTATATTTAATTCACATGTTTCCTATTCATATCGAAGGCTTTGTTAAAATACAGGCGCTGCCTTCTCTAATCCTTGAAAGTCAGTCGTTATGACATAATATTATAGCCAGGACCAACGTTTGACAACAAACAAAATGGTGCACGGCTACTGGGCACTATTATAGGACCTTCAACCATATCACATATTAGACATAAAAATTGTCTTAATTAATTAGTGTTCTGTCAATAAGTCTTTGCCATCATCTTCTAAGTTATTCCTCCTGCAGACAATAATTTTAAGTATAAGCTTGCTAATATATAAAAAATACATGTATATCTTAAAGGTATGCAATCCTAACTACTGGATTTTACGATAGGTCTAATTCAGTTTGGATATGTTGACTAAAGATGCTGTTGGTGAATAAGTTATTTAAGGACAAACGGTACGAAGAACATTTTACATGAAAAATCCAATTTTAGAACGAACCAATGTAGCACTTTCGAACATGTTCGACTAACAAATGTTGGTATAATGCTCATTTGCTCCAGCGCAAAATTATCTTACATGTAAAATCAATCAAAACATCTCTATGTGCATGTGTTTGGACAATGCAATTAAATAAATAGGTTCTTCTTGAATTACAACGATCAAGTTAAAATATGTTTATTGATAAGTGAATATACTGTGAGGTTTCTGGGTTCGAGGATTCGGTTGCTCTGCCTGAGCAATTAAAGGAATAAATCAAATAGTTATTTAAATTTCTCAATCAAGGATTTTAATCAACAATATTTACAATGTCCAATTCTGTCTTGGAGCGCGTACGCTTCCTAGCTAAGCAAACAAAAATATTTACCAACTTGCACAAAAACACAACAAAGTCTCGAAAGCCTTATTCAAGCACACAAGACTTTATTGAGCAAGTTTATGTTCCTCACCTTAACTGAAAACCAACTGACTTCTCTCGACTTCAGTCTGGAACTGACTAAAATCTCTGTTGTCTCTACTTATATACCTTCAGTATCACGTGATCTCCGAGGACCGAAAGGGTGAAATTAACAGGAAGTACTTATTACTAAGCTTCCAGTAGACAGAATGGGATTACTGATTTCGATTCCGAATTTCGTTTCAATACCATGGAATCAAGAGGGACAAACTTTGTCAAAGTCATTTGTGTTATGGTTTATTGGTATTTACATACGTATTTGATAAATATTTTTATTCTATATATCAATGTTTAAAATGTTATTTACTAGTATAAGATTTGTATCCTAACTGTAAATCAGTAGATATCTAAATGTAATCTTTGTTAGGTGTAAGTGTTTCCTTTTCTTGTTACTCACTCGGTAGAGTATTTGGTTCGTGAGCTTTCTATGATTATGGGTTCGACTCCCGACTAGGTCAGACGTAGGAACTTAAAAACAGATTGTAACTCTTCCATCGATGAATGTTGGGTGGTAGATGTAAAATCATGTACATTTCGTTAGTACCCCGAAAATTGGTCAGAAGTGTTAGAAAGACAAAAGAAAGTGTTTAGCAAGACATACAGCAGTAAATAACATTGATCAGTGGAATCCAAATAAGCTTAAACATTTTATTATGATGCAGAAAATAGTCCTTGTGCAACAGTTTGTCGTATATCAGACATGAATAAATGTTATAATAATTACAAGAATATCAACAGTCTCGTTTAAAGACATCATTTCGAAAAAAAAATTATGGTCGATACAATGACCGTGTCAGAAAAAAACCCCAATCTATCATTAAGTCAAATGTTGACTGACTTTTTTCAAACAAATGGTTAGGCCATTATTTTAACACTGAATTGGCAGGAATTTTTCCGTCTGCCCGATTACATATTTATGAAAAGGAGGACACGGCGACTGTGACCGGTCGACAGGTGATGCTTACTCCTCTAAGGTGCCTGATCCCATCTCTGATGTTTTTAGAGGTACGTGTTTGCTCAGCTCCAAATGTGTATTACTTCTTTGGACTTTTGAGTATAGTTTTTTTTTTAATTGGCTCTTTTTTCATATACAGTGTAATAAAATAATAAACATGCAACAATTTTTACTTTATACAGTAGCGTAAATCTGCATCCTACAAGACAATGTTTCGCAAATCAAGAAAAAATTACAGTGCATACTATCTACATATACAAATCATATGTTCATTATTTTTACAAAGTAATATATTACAGAGGATATTGCTTTTTGATTATGACATTTAATTTAAATACATAGTAAAATAATACCATTAGTTCTGAGGTAATAATTATAATGCATCTAATATTGGTTGCCAAGTTTCATTAAAAATATCTAAATTACTATTTGAGCAATACGCTGCCTTTTTAAGTAGAAATTTCTTTTTCAGAAGGTATGAAAAGGCATGAAAACTTTGTTCTTTTTTTAAGGACATTCAAATTAGCTATAGACACTGAATATATATAAAACTTAGAAAGCAAAATACAGTGATTCAAACTATCACATTTTCTCTCATACAGACCTAATATAACATTTTGACAAGATAGCTTGTCTATGTGGAAAATGTGTAGATCATTCCACCAAGTTAGAAAGTGTTTCCAAAATGTAGCCACACAAGTACAATAATAAAACTTGTGTTCTATAGTATCCTCTTTTTTACATAAAAAACGTTTTAATTTCTATTTGAAACAGTAGTTTATTTTGCATATTAAATATTGTTTAATTATTTATTAATTACTCCTGTTGTCACCTGTCATATCTGTGCTTTCGCCATCTGCTGGGTAAGACTCAGACCTACAGTGCAGTTCTTTGTTTTTACTGGCATTGGCACTGTTGACAATACCCAGATGTATGTACCTATCTAGGGTACTGATACTTCGTATGATAATTAAGCTGTGGATAAATACGAGGACTTCATTCTGACCAATCACAGGTCTTCTATTTCTAGTACCCGGTATATCAGTTGAGGAAACGACACACTTGCGAATTTTGGAAAATTGTTTGCAAGGGCAAGGCCTTTTTGTACTTTCGTTTTCGTACAACGTCACTTTCCATACCAAGTTGTACAGAGCTAATTACTTGTTAGTTGTAGTTATTGGATTTTAAAAAAAACATTTGAAACGAATACGTTTGATGTTTATTATATTTAATCATTACATCTAAGTTCTGTCCATGTTTCAAAAATGTCTTTGTTAAATTGTGGTAATGATGAACATGCACGTAGCCTATTTAGACAACCTCTGGTAATTATAAAATCATTCAATTCTATTTCATTCAGGTAAGATTGAATTATACTTTTCCACCTTGCTTTTGTATTAATAAATATCCTTCTAATCCAACCAAGTTTTAATGATTTCATTTGTGCTTCAAGATTAGGAACTTTCAATCCACCCCTATTGGTTTTTTGGCAGGATACTGAACTTTTAACTTTTCATTATTCCATATAAACTTATTCAGTTCTTTAGACACCTCCTTTATCATTTGTGGGGGAATCGGAAGTACTTGTGCTTGGTATACTATTTTTGATATTTCGAAAGTTTTTACATTAGAACTTTGCCAATAAGTGTTAAATTCCTCATTTTCCATATATTCAAAATTGCTTTCAGTTCATATAATTTTGTATTTAAGTTTTTAGCAAGGGTTTTTTGTTCACCGCTTGAACTAAACCTAATACCAAGGGTAAAAAATTGACCTTCAGACCATTTCACTGGCAAGATTCCTGGTTTGAAATTTTTGTTCTTTCCTATCCAAATTGCTTCAGTTTTATTCAAATTAATTTTCAGTCCAGAACAGCTTTTTTAAATAACATTTAATATTTCAATTCCTGATTTTTCATCACTTAGAAAACATGTAGTATCACCTGCTAACTGGCTTATCTTAAACTCAGTCTCCCCTATTTTTATTCCACGTATATTTTTATTTTCCCTTATGGCTATTGCAAGTAGCTCAACACATAAAATGAACAGATAGGGTGATAAGAGTCATCCTTGTCTCACCCCTCTACTTAATTTGAAAAAAGAGGTTGTATATCCATTGTTTATAACACTACTAGATATATCGGTATACAGGATTTGAACCCAATGTCTGAAACTTTCACCAAATCCAAATATTTCTAAAGCTTTATCAATGAAACGTCATTCTACCGTATCAAATGCCTTTTCAAAATCAACTAAGAGAATTCTTCCAGGAATATTTTTGACACTAGTATAATTTGTAAGACCAGATATGGTTCTGATATTTTCTCCTATAAATCTATTCTCTAGATATCCAGTTTGGTCAGAATCTATTAAATGGGGTAAATAAGTTTCCTTTTTGCCTATACCTTTGATAATATATTATAATCAAAATTTAGAAGAAATATTGTTTTCCAGTTTTTTAACAAAGTTCTATCTTTATCTTTTTT